GGTGGGAGATGAGCCGCGTTTCCCGCCCCAGAACAAATGGCAGTAAGCATCAAATCCCACAAACCTCCCAGTAATGCTGGTAAAACTGTTCAGAAGTTGCTAAAACTGTCTACACAGATTGAGAGTCAAATTCAGCCACTCAGTTACAAGTTATGTGGATTTATAAGCTGATTTCTCACAAGCTAAGGAGCTCACTTGGCAGTCAGGCCCCGTCCCATATCCTGATATTTTAATACAATATAAAATACATTTGGTGGATTTTTGGATAGTTACAGATCTCTTATAATTTTCGATTATTTCTGAGTTAAACCTGGTTCTGCATAGTTTCTTTCATAAGAATATGAAGCCATATTCTAATCTTCTAATATTCACATGGGTTAAGTCTACCTAAGGCACAGTTTAATATTCCTATATATGCTTTTCAAATGATTTCATAGTTTTGGATACACTTTTTAAACAATTTAGAAGGATATTGCAGTATTTTGTTTTCATATTTTTTTAATAGTTTTTTTTCATATTTTAACATTTTGAAAAAATAATTGTAAAAGTTTATTCAAAATATGTACAGGACAGGTAGAGGGAGGTCCACATCCCTGGATTATATCAGCTGGCTTGGAGTTCTAACTGAGGGGGGGGAGAGGTGGTTAGCAGAGGGGTTTCAATGTGTAATATCGAATTATTGGTGTTTATGGAACCCTACTCCACACTGCCTGAGATGTACATCCCATTGTACAGCGCTATGGAATCTGATGGCGCTATATAAATAATAATAATTATAACAATAATAATATCATATAACACACTGCATGCATCACATCGGAAAACCAATGAATTCCTCTCATTATAAAAAACAAAACACACAATCACAAAGTAAATCAGAGGTTGTTTGACAGGGACCCAAATGACACATATACATGGTGACTCGTTCTGCCAATGCGGGATAATATGCAACAACATCAGATTTACAAAACACATTCATTAGACTCCGTTCCGTTTTGTCGACAGCAGTCTCTGCTGTGAGTGTTAAGATCTGCTGCTACAGTAGACATTTATTGTTTGCAATCTCCCCGTGCCTTCTGGATATAATGTGTCTTTTACCACCATTTGGAATCCACTAAAACTATGGGCAAGGAAACATTTTGGTGCTGATCTAGGGGTCAAGAACTTAGCCAGAAGTGTGATAGGATATTTTTCTCTGTACCCCTCTGCCAGCCTGAGAGAGAGAGAGGAGGAGAAAAAGACATGTAGAAGAGATAGAGAGACATAGGGAGGGGGGCAGGGAAAGAGACAGAGAAACAGGGGGAGTATGTGAAAGAAGAGGTAATAGAGACGGGGAGATGGAGAGAGAGGGGAAGAGATACAAAAAGAGACAGGAAGAAATGGAGGGTGGGGAGAGATACAGCTAAAGACAGAGAGAGACAGTAGGACAGAGATCGTTATTCAAAATTTTAGAAACCTCAACATATTCCTCAAAGCTTTCACAGTCTCCCCCGTTTCCCAATGAACGGCAGCGCACATTTTGGAAATATGGGTTTCCCTGGAGGATCTCAGTTCGTTCTCAGACATCACTGATTGTATTAACAATAGAAAGAAGTTCCCCTCAGACGATTTGTGGAAGAGCTATCCACTAACAGGAGTTAAGCTGTAGTTGTTCTGGTGACTATAGTGTCCCTTTAAGCTTGTCTCTGCTAGCACTGCTAAGAGCAGATTAAACCCAGTCGGGGATTTACCTTTAATGGAGCCGTCACAGAATTCACTACATTTTGAACGGTGATTTGATTGTTTAAATTCAGGTCTTCGCGCTCTTTCTTTCCCTCGTTTCTCGCACAAGTTACTTTCACTTTCACTCTGTGTCAATGATGGGAGGAGTATGAGGTATAGAACAGTATGGGAGGTTGTATTCACTAAGCAGTGATCTGAGATACATGTAAAAACCTAGCAAGCAACATTAGAAATCTCAGGATTGGAAACACTCACATTTCTACACAAATAAAAGTGGAAATTTTATTTTAATATTTTATTCAAAGCTGCACTAAAACCTTAAAACGTGCCAGTCTTCTGTCAATGCAGCAGAACTCACTGTTTAGTGACGATTTCCATTTTTACTGCGTTTTGCCTAAAATTAGCCAAAACCAAGAGTTTACGAGAGTATACTGAGAACGGACAACAGCTGAAATAGCTTGTCCTTCTGCCCACTCAGGTCTCAAACAGGTTTGAGCTCACATGGCCATCTCCAGGTAGGTTCAGATCTGAAATGCCAGCAGGTTTTCTCTGCATGAGAGATTGGTGTCGGCCTCTTTGGGCCACTGAAGGCTGTTTAAGACGATGACCACTCTCAGTGATCTCATAAACGCTTGTTTTTGGCTTAGACACAAGATTCCAAAACTTTGAGAATTAACCAAAAAAAAAAAAAAAAGAGTTGCCTGCACACTACCCCAAATCCCTGAGCATATTTAAATAACTGGCCGTTTTTAGTTACTCCAGTGGCCATTAGGTGTAAACTCACCTGTCGCGTCATGGCAAACCTTGTAGGTGACATTCACTGTGCTTCCTTGATATCTCTAATGAGACGGAGAGGGGTATTTTCTATATACACCCCTATATACTTATTAACCCTTAATAGGGAACACATGGGATGGGCAGTAGCATTGTAAAATTGCTGTGTGATACAAAGTAAATACAAATACACAGAAATAAGTCCTACACTTAGACTCCCACTACTCCTGGGCAGCAATGACTATAGTACACATCATCCCCAATACTTACAATAAAAAACAAAGAAGAAAAGGTTGCCTGTGCTCTATCTCAAATCCCTGAGTATATTTAAATAAATGAAGGTTATTTAGTAACTAAAATGGCCATTGGCTGTAAGTACTTGTTTTTTGTATTTGTATTCACTTTTGTATCACACAGCTATGTTCCAATGCTGCCACCCATCCCATGTGTTCACTATTAAAGGGACAATGTAGGCACCCACACCACTTCAGCTCATTGAAGTGGTCTGGGTGGAAACTCCCATCACCCTTAACCCTAAACATGTAATTATTGCAGCTTTATAAACTGTAATAATTATCTGCTAAGGTCAACTCCTCCTCTACCAGACAGCCACTAGAGGGACTTCCGGGTGAATAGACGACTTTGTTGTCTAAACGACGCTGGACGTCCTTGTGCAATGCATGAGGATTTCCAGCATCGCCGGAATCCCCATAGGAAAGCATTGAATAATGTTTCCCAATGGGGTGATCCTAACGCGAGCACAGGCATTGCTGCGCATTCACATTAGATCTCTACCGCCGGCGGACGTCGGCAGGGGAGGAGCTTGGGCAGAGATGAGCCAGCACCGAAAGACACCTGTGCTGGTGCCAGGTAAGTGACAGAAGGGGTTATAAACCCTTTCTGCATCATGGGGTGGGCTTGACAAAGGGGGAAGCTATAGTGGAAGGAAAATGAGTTTGTTATCCTGACATCATAGTTTCCCTTTAAGGGTTATTAAGGGTTTAGAAAAATACCCATCTCAGTCTCATTAGAGATTTTATTTTGCCTTAAAGGGATTCGATAGGAAAACGGCTTTGTTTTCCTGGCACTATAGTTCTCCCCCAACCCCCCCTTCGGCAGGGCCGGACTGGGCATACAAAGCAGCCCTGGAAAAAAAATTTGTGCCAGCCCCATAAGTCACTGCGCCATATATTGTCGCGTGTAATATGTAAGGCTATGTCTTGCCAGGACAGATGATTGAGTAATAAATATATATATATATATATATATATATATATATATATTGCTTTTTCTAATATAAAATATTGGTCCTTTCAGGGTAAAGCGTTTAATTATACAGTAAGCATACGCACATGCAGACACAGGCAATTTCACTGACATTTCAGTGACACACACAAGCTCATTGATACACAGCCTCATAGACAAACAATCTTACTGATATACATCAGCTCATTGACATAAAAACACAAGCTCACTCACTGGCAGGCACACGCATGCAAGCAAGCTCACTCACTAGCAGACGCACACACACAGCTTAATGTGGTGGTACTGGTGTCTATAGCATGTCCCTACAGGCTTTTCAACGTAAACACTAACTTTTCAGACAAAAGGCAGTGTTTACATTGCTTCAAAGTGACACTGCTAGTGACAGTCACTCAGACGGTCACTAGAGGTGCTTCCTGTGTTAGTGCCCTCCCGCCCTCGCGCGCTGCTGAATGAGACTGGCGCCGGAATATGATGTCCTATTCCGGCGCCGGTCTCATTCAGCTGCGTGCTGGGGAGCAGAGCCAGCGCAGCTCATGCAGCTCCCTCCCTGCAAGGATTTTTGCCGCCCTAGACAAAATAAAAATTTGCTGCCCCCACATGTCACATCACAATGCCCCACCCATATGATCTGCCATATGAACTAATGCCAGTGCTGCACACAGTGTGTGTTTACATTAAAAAGCCTGCAGGGACCAGCTATAGACACCAGAACCACTTCATTAAGCTATAGTGTCCCTTTAATGTGAGATACATTATAGATTAGTGTCACTAATAATATACTAGATTGCCTACTTACAAGCAGATGAGGATGATGATGGGCTGCAGTTTGGCTCCACTGGTCTGGTGTAGAACAGGATCTCTGGAGGCTGTTTGCAACTGTGGTCACAAAATTCAATGTTCTGAGAGAATTGGAAGCAGCTCAATTTTTTTGGGGCCCCTTACACAGCTCAAGGTCTGGGCCCCAGGGCCTGACGGTGAGTATGCCCATAAGGCCAACTCATAAGTTCCACCCACCCATGAGTTCGCTCACAGGGAGTGGAGTGTGTAGGGGATGTGTTATGTGTTATTGTAGAGGATCTAATATGTATGCTTATGGTATGTAGTGTTTAGGGTTACCAGTTTGTGCAGGTGATGCAGTGTGTTTGTGTGTAGTGGAAGCAGTGTGTATTTGTGTATAAGGGATGTATTATGTGTTTCTGGTTGTGTGTAAGGGATGCATTGTGTGAATCTGTGTTTGTATGCATAAGGGATGCAAGGTGTGTGTCTGTATGTGTGTGCATTGAGTGTAAGAGATGCATTGTGTTTCTGTGTGTATGTAAGAAAAGTGTGTGTGTTTGCATGTGTGTGTACGGGTTTACATTGTCTGTTTCTGTGTATGTGTGCAAAGGATGCATTGTCTTTGTGTGTAAGGGTTGCATTGTGTGTGTGTGTGTAATGGATGCATTGTGTGTTTCTCTGTGTGTAAGGGAAGCATGTTGTGTTTCTGTGTATGTATAAGGATGCATTGTGTGTGTGTGCGCGCGCGTAGTGTGAAAGAGCTCCCTGTCTTGGCCTGTCCCGCAGGCTGCCTTCTTCTTATTCCCCCCCCTCCCCTCTTCTTATTCCCTCCCCTCCCCTCTTCTTGTTCCCCTCCCCTCATCTTGTCCCCCTCCTCACTGTTCCCTCCC